CTCACTGCCTCGGAACTGAGGGCGGAACGAGCACATGAGGCTTTCGCCATCGCGAATACGTCAACAAATTCGACCCCAAGTCCTATCTCCTGCAGCTGTGTCGCCAGCTCGTAGGAGATCGCATGCCGCGGACCGACGGTCAACAGCAGCGCGCCTTCCTTGAAGCGCTGTGCCAATTCACCACTGGCGGGGTATAGTTGAAATTTGAGTTACACTAATGAGACACACATAGTACGGGACGCAACGCAACGAAGTGCAAGCCCGACTCCCAAAGCTCTTGTCAAGCGAACACGGTTACGGAACTTCGGCAATATGCTATCCCAAACGTGAAGATGCCCGTCAGGACCAGTTGGAACCCCTGAGTACACCGCCCAAGAGACCACTTGAAGCTCGTCCGCAGGATCCCACAACTCCTTCAGAACCGATTTCGCAATCTTCAAGGCCAAGTCCCTGCAACCTACGATTTGGCACTTGTTGAGATTGAGGCAGAGGTTCGCGATCTGGGAGAACATCAAAAGACCTTCCAAGATGGGCCCGAGGTCCCTCGGAGTGTTCTGAAACCCTAAGAGGAAGTCATCGGCGTTTGCAAGGTTGAGGTGGATGCGGGGAGAGGTGGTGTGACGAAGCCATCGGAGGAGGGGGTCGGTAGCGATGACGTAGAGCAGCATCGAAGCAGGACAGCCTTGCTTAACCCCACATTGATTCCTAATCGTGCCGTGCTTGCCGCCGGCGAAGAGGGTCGCGCCAGCGTTCTCATGGTATAGCATTTCAAAGAAGCGGACGAGGAAAAGGGGCAACTTCATCTCGCGAAAAAAATGAAATAGCCACGCGGGAGCGAGAGATGGGAAAACCGCAGGCATCGGTGAGAGACGAAGAGGCGCATGGGACTCCCTGCATGCGTTGGCTATGCCGCGTCCCTGCACGGACGACATGCGCCGGCGTATCTCGACCGCGAAGGCAGGTCTGATCAATATCTACCAAGTGCGGTACATTAATCGTCAAAGATGGTGAAGGCGTTAGTGATCAACTTGGTATCTGTATTAGACATGCTAGGAGGACAAGTGCAATATGGGTGACGTGTAAGACCAGTGCCGCCAGCGGGGCCCTTCGGGTCCGCGCCCTCGGGGGGGCAAACTAGGAGGCGCTTGCGCATCTCAGGCGGAAGGGCCGAGATCTGATCTGTGGAGAGGGTGGCATAGACATCGTGCAGCGCGCGCGCGGCTTCAGCATTCCTCCAAGCAGTGTAGGGAACGCCGTCTGGTCCAGGCATAATGTTTGGGCGGAGGGGGATCGTCTCGTACCGTGTGATGTAGGGTAGCTGCCATTCTGTTTGGAGAGGCCCCAAGAGATGCTGAATGTGGGGCCCACATTGCTCCAGAGATCGGGGTTGATCGATGGTCTGTCGAAGATGGAGGCCCAATGTGCCTGGAGGGCCTTCGCCGGGTCCGGAGCGTTCGTAAGAATCTTCCCAGAGTCCCCGCATACGTTCTCGAGGTAGGTGCGTCTCTTGAATTTTCTCCAGAGGTCTTTGCGACGGGCATTGCGTGCAAGTGGCGCCGATCTCCTGTCCTCTTCGATCCCTAGCTTCCGAAAGTCCTTCTCCTCCTCCTCCAGAATCTTAAGGAAGAGAGCCTGCGCGTGGTGGCGTGGGCCATCGAGGTGAACGCGCACCTCGAGGTCTGGCTAAAATGCACCTTCAGACGCGGATAGCCGCACGGCGCATCTGCTAAGCCGCTGCGGTGTCCGAGCCGCGCTGCACGGGCGCTGGGAGTGCACGGAAGTGGCGTTCATGCGACGAGGAAGCCCGGCGGGTAAGTAGCGCTTTCCGTGCTGACGCAGCCGCCTCAAAGAAGCATTCTTTCACGTGCGGCGGCTTGAATGGGGGCGGGGCTGTCGAGGGCCTCGTGGAACTCGGGGGGCTTGGTAACCCGCGGGGCAATGGGGGGGGGGGCGCGCGGAAGGAGTGACAAGGGTCGATGCGCGCGACGACGGGGGTGTGATCACGACTTATATGAGCCTGCAGGGAGCCAATCGTGTAAGCCCGAATGGTAAAATCACCGAGGAGGCCAGGCGGAACCGCAATATAAACCCTGTCAACTCGTGAAGTAGACGCAACCGCATTTTCACGTCTATCACGCCGAGTGTCCTGGTCCCGGTAAACTTCGGTCAGGAAGGGGAACACTTTGTCGAAACAGCGGGAATGCGCAGCATCCCCAAGGGGAAAAACACCAGTGTCGCAACATAATCGGCCCTCGTGCTCAATCGCAAAGTTAAAATCGCCCATGAGAAGACAGTGCGCATGCTGCCCATCTCCACCAGGCAGGTGGAGTCGCATGTCCTGTCGAATCGTGGCGAGAACACCTGTGAAAATCGGCATGGGGTCACTGGTATTCGGGAGGTGGGAGTTGTAGATGATGAGGTTCCCCTGGGGGCCAATGAGAGAACTCTTGAGAGCGCGCCCTGGGATGAGCGCCTCGTGCCGCATTTCAGCGAGCCAAGAACGCAGCCTAGCCGAGAGCGCAGTGATAACTCCGCCCTCGCGGTTGGAGTCGAGGGGGGAGAAGCCGAAGCGGTGCTGCCTGAGCTCGCGCTCCAACTCGTTAATGTCACCGATGTGTCCATGTGATTCTTGTCCTGTTGGAATATCGTGTGGTTTGGCAACCTCTATGAGTTTGAAATATCGCTTGGGTGCAATCTTGCTGGCAGTCCTCGCTGACGTCATCAGCGCCTGGCAATTCCATATTCCATGTGTATGCTCGGAGCGGGAAGCCGGGATGGAAGTGCTGGATACCATTGTTAGACAATGAGGGGGGGGGGGGGGGGCGCGGCACAATTGCCTAAGCTGTCCAAGTCAGCGCTGAAAAAGGGGCGCTGCAGCCGTGCCTGGGCTGCTGCGGAGATCGATGCTGCGTGTTGCGTAAGCTCAAACTCAAGCAAAGCATCGTGGTCGAGGTCACAGCGGACGGCCCCTTGGTCGTCCACTGCGACGGCGGCGACCTGGACTGGGTCGCGTGGACCGCGCAAAATGTGTGCGCTTCCGCCCAGCCCTGAGGAGCCAACCTTCACTTCGGACAAGGTCAGTGATCCTGTTCCTCACGCGTCCGAGTGACAAAGAGCTGGCGAGAATTGAGATTCATATCGCGGCGAAGCCTCAAGGATAGGTTCATCGAGGGGTTCAAAGGGTCAGGGTCGTTCCAGCTGCTCTGCTTGGCGACGTAGTTGTCCATGAAAGATCCTGCTGCCGACGGGGTCTCGAAGTGCAGGGTGATCTTTTTGCTCGTGTCGAATGCGCGTACCACTATCCTCTGTGCAACCCCAGCAGGGGCGAAGGCCAGCCGGCACTGCTCGCCAATGATGCGGAGGTCCTTAGCGAGCATGGGGCGCTTGAAACCAATGATCACAAGCTTGCACGTCTGGTCCAGGAGTTGTGACCGATCACGTTGTTGAGGCGTGGTAGATTGCTCACTGCTGGTCACGCGCGGCGTGGGGGTGGAGTTGAAATCGCAAATTTGCTTCTCGGAGATACCCTGACGAGTCTTGAGGTCGGCAATGGCATCTTCAATGCTCGAGAGCTTCTGGCTGACGAGTTGTGAGACAGCTTCCACATCCATAGCGTCCTCACGAGGTTGGTGGCCACCTGCATTAAACTCTTGTTGAAGACGAGCGACCCGTGTGTCTAGGTCATGCACAAAGGTACTCAACAAGTTTTGCAAGTCACTATGCTTGTTCTGGAACTCGCGGCCCATTAGCGTCATTTGATCAGCCAAATGACTGCAACGTTCGATGGTGGTATTGCATGCACTACGAATCGCAATCATGTCTTGACTTTGAGTGGCTACAACAACTTGTGACACATATTCCATGCTGCCAATGAGTTGGTCAAATTTCTTACTGTTCGTGTCAGAGGGTTCAGACGAGCTGCGCGTGTCCCTACCAGTCGACAAAGATCTGCTGCGCGATGTTGATCGATCATCCCGTCATCGTCTACCTCCACGGCGGTCGTCATTCGAATCCTCGGAATGGCGCGAGCGATGATTTCGTCCAGCACCCATGTTGGAAGGGAAGAAGCAAGAGAAGAGGGGGCAGGAATGCCGACAGTATGCTGAATGACTCGATGCCGAAAATGGGGTCCCGCCTCGTGTGTGGCGGGCTGTGAGGCGGGCCCTACGCTGACTTGGCCAGCTGCCTCGACAGATGTGTTACTTGAGCCAAAATGGCTTGAGTCACAATGGCTTGCGCCAAACTGGCTACGGATTGTTGCTGTTGTTGTTGCTGTTGTTGTTGCTGTTGCTGTTGCTGTTGCTGTTGTTGTTGTTGTTGTTGTTGTTGTTGTTGTTGTTGTTGTTGTTGTTTTGCGACGCCCAACACTGCACATTCCGCCAATTCTTCTGGCAAAACTACTTTGGCGGCCTGCCGCTGGCCTCCACCGAAGGCGACGAGGTGCCACATTCCTCTCGACCCCGCGAGATCGAGGCCTTGATTCAAGGTTTTCCCAAGGTAAGTCCCAAAACCGTTCGGGATCCATCCCCGATCCTGGCCAATTTTTCATGCTGCGTCCAACCGTGCCGACGAGGGGATCCAGAGAAACGACGTGATCTTTCACGACATGGACCCCTATTGGTCCCGAGCCCCTTCCAAGAACCCGCTTTTCATCCTGAATCGATATTGATGTTTGCGGTCCCAGGGCCTGGTAGGCACCCCATGGAGACCGAACGCGGCCAAACAGCCTCCGTATTATTTTTGGACGACGCGAAGAGGTCGTGTTTTGGGGTCGCAGCTCAGGCCTCTGGCGGCCGTTCGGGACGATCTGGGCAACCCCAGAACGCCCTCGCGAGGTGCAGCTGCTGGAAAGCATCCGCGCCCTCGCGAGGCGCAATTGTTGGAAAGCATCCTGCGGGTGGAAAACCGCCAAGAATTCACGAAAACGTGTGACATCCTCGGACCTCGAAAACCAAAGGCCCAAATAACGAAGACAACGCGAAAGTCTTCCGCGAAGACGCCTGGCAGACGCTGGCGTCTGGCCGTGCGCGGCGGCTGGCCGCGCCGCCAGCGCTGGCCGCGCCTCCGGCGGCCAGCGGGGGGCTGTGAGAGCGGCGGGGGGCCCGGCGCCAGCAGATGAGCCTCGTCGGTTGGCGGTGGCGGGAGGGGGAGGGGGGGGGAGGAAGAGTGACGGTCATGGTACTGTGAGAGAGCGCGTTTCACGGGCGCTTGCCTTGGGAACATTCGGCGGCGCGTTTCAAACCGGGGGGTAGGCCCCCCCCAACACTCGGCGCCGTCGATCAGAACCAGGGGGACCCCCCTCCCCCCTTACCCCCCCCCTCCCGAACACCCCTCCCCCCCCTCCCCCTCTCCGAAGAAAGGGTGAAAAGCCCCCCCCCACCCCCGCGCCGGCGGGGACGCAGCGACGACTACCACCACTACCACCACCACCATTACCACCACCACCACCACCTCAACCCACCACCACCACCCAACGCACCACACAGCCACCACCACCACAACCACCACCACCACAACCACCACCACCACAACTCACCACCACCACCACACCACCACCACCGCCAGCACCACCACCACTACCGGCAGCACAACCCACCACCACCACAAACTACAATACCACCACCACCACCGCCACCGCCACCACCACCACCAACACCACCTCCACAAACCACCGCCACCACCGCAATCCACCACCACCACCACCACCAACCACCACGATACCACCACCAAACAACTACCACCACCACCACCACCACAACCCACCACCACCACCACAAACCACCACCACACCACGACCAAACCACACCCCACCACCACCGCCGCCACCACCACCACCACCACCACCACCACCATCACCCACCACAACCACCATCACCACAACAAACCACCACACCACCACCACCACAACCACCACCACCGCCACCAACACCACAACCCACCACCACATCCACCACCGTCGTCCTCGTCGACGCTCCCCGCCGCAGGCGCCGGCGCCGGCCCAGAGAAGGAAGTCGTCGGTCGTCCCCGCCGCCGCCGCCAGCCGCCGCCGACGCAGGCGCTGGCCCGAGGAGAGGGAGAAGGAGGAGTAATTAGGGGAAAAGGGGGGGAAGGGGCGGGGGTTCGAACCCCCTCCCTTCCGTCACGGAAAGAGGAGGGGGGGTGGGGTGGTTCGAACCACCCCCTTCCATCCAAGGGGGGGGGTTCCGGTTCCAAACTCACACCCCGCCCTCCAAGCGACCACAGAACGCGCTCTTTCTTCCCTGTTGGTGGTGATGGTGATGCTGCTGCCGATGATGGTGATGTTGATCATGGGTCAGCAGGAATTGATCCGCACAGTCAGAATGGCAGCTCGCGCGTAGCACGGCGCACTGCGCTGACGGCGCTGTGCAGCACCGCGGGCGGGCGATTGCCCCTCCGGAAAGCCTTGTGGAAAGCCTTGTGCCTGGTTGCGACCCGCAGCCGCTGCAAGTGCTGCTGCGGCAGGCGGTCACGACACCATCCACGACGAAACCCAGCACGATGACCATGACGGTGCCGCGACGATGCATAGCCGCCGCAATCTCGAGGTTCAATGCGAGTAACGGGGACTTCCACGAACCATGCGTGTATGTGTGAGAAAAAGAGGGGGCTGGTCGCGAAGATGACGCTCAAATGTTCCTTCACCGACCTGCGCGTGGTGGCGATGATGTCCGACCGCGCAGAAAAGGTGTGAAAAACAAACTGGGTCATGATGGAGAGTCTATGTTCCTCGATCGGCGTGATGCGCGGAAACCCCAGGAGGTCGATATGGTATCCAGCCTGAGGTGGTGGTAGTGATGATGAGGGGGGGATCAGGCGAGGAGGACGGGATGAGAGGGATGAGGAGAAGGGGGAGGATGAGAGATGGTTGAAGAAACTGCGCAATGTTTGTTTCGCCATTTTCTGCCTCCAGGGGCCCCTTTCACGTCCTGGGACCGTCAGAAGTAGGGAGGAGAGGGAGGGAGATGGGGGAAGATAGAAAGGAGGGCGATGAGAAGAGGTGGCGATGGCGGCGGAAGGAGGGGGATGAGGCGAAGAGGTGGAGGAAGCAGGGAGGAGGTAGGAGGAGGGGGAGTGGATGATGATGATGATGATGATGATGATGATGATGATGATGATGATGATGATGATGATGATGATGATGATGACGATGACGATGACGATGATGATGATGATGATGATGATGATGATGATGATGATGATGATGATGATGATGACGATGCTGATGCTGATGTGAAGGAAAAAGAGCAATGGCGGCGGAAGGACGGTGATGACGAAGGATGGAGGAGGGAGGGAGGTCGGAGGGGGAGTGGAGGATAATTTGGATGATGCTGCTGCTGCTGACGAACAGGATGATGACGATGACAATTATGATGATGCTGCTAATGATGCTGCTGCTGATGATGATGCTGATGCTGATGATGATGATGGTAATGCTGATGGCGATGATACACTTGCTGTTGATGATGATGACGACGATGATGATGGTGGGGAGGCACAGTTCAATTTTTTTGGTGATGGCAGTTGCTCCCTTCTACGGTGAGGAACTTCTGCTCAGGGTGTCGCGGCGGCGCCCCCTGCGACACGCTATGCCTTGAAAACTGGTAGCGTGTCGCTCTGCCTAGCGGAACGGAAGGTCGAGAAAAGCTTGGAACTTTGATGCCTGGAAACTGGGGCGTACTTAGTGTTTCGCGCTGAAACGTGGTGGGCCAGAGCCAGCGGCGCGACAAGCTAAGCAACCGTTCCTGATCGTAGACTCTCCCCATCATGACAAGCTCGTCCCCTGAGCCGATGGTAAGGCTGGCTACAATCCAATCGGTCGCACATGGCACTCAAGCGAGGCGAAGCAATTCTGTTTGCGGCCGGGCGACAACCCCAGACCTCTGACGCCGTCTTTTCACAACGTGCACCCCCCGAGGTCTAGACCACTACCCTGGAATTGTCTTTTCATCCTGCGTCGCTTTGACGGTCCCACAACCTGGTGAGGACCCCTGGGCGACGAAAATCACGGACAGCTCTGTAGTCTTTTTCACGACGCGAGAAAATCCAGTACGGGCGGTGCGACACGATTAACGGGCTGAATCGTGGAAGGCGGACTCAAGCGTCCTGGCAAGACGTGCCTGCTGCTGGGATCTCGCCCTCCTCGCCAGGAAGAGGAGGCGGCGGAAGAGGGGAGGAGGAGGATGAGGAGGAGGAGGAGGAGGAGGAGGAGGAGGAGGAGCCAGAGGATGATGAGGAGAATGACCAGAGTACACCCAAGATGCATCAGCGACGCTGCAATACACCCTCCCGTCCCAAGCCCTCATACGTCTCTACACGCTTTCCCCTTCAACGCAAGAGGAGCCCCTTTGAAAGACTGGCACAATATGGGCCTGCCATTTTGGCTGGACCCCGTTGTGAAAAGGAGCTGACTTGCATCCTTCTGGCTCGTAACCGGCACATGCGACAACGATGGTCGTACAAATCAGACAGGTGTCCCAGGAGATCTCCCTTTCGAGACATGACCATCCCCCATCTGTGTAAGTGTCGCAGAAGTGTACTCTTGTGGTTGTGAACCTCGAAATTCTGAGCGAGCCACTCAGGTCATGGGAACGACAGGATCTGGGATTCAGGAAACGGCCCTGGATTTAGGAAATCCGTTTTTCAATTTAGTAAACCGACTTCTGCGTTTACTAAATGATGTTTTGTCTTGTTTTGATTCGGCGACGCAATTTAATACATCCGCTTCTCGCTTTAGTAGATCACCGCTTTTTCAAGAATTTGTCTTAAGAAGGCGCGTTCATTCATTACCATGACCCATGTTAGGTCTTACGCAATACTTCCATATTGAAGAGGAGCCGTCCTCGATCCGTGCAGTGCTACAGGCGAGATCCCCATTTTGAGCAGGAGCCGTCCTCCGACCTTCAAGGCGCCGCGAGCTTTAGCGAGCAATGCTCGAGGGCGCTAAGGGGAGAACGATTTTGTTGTTGTTGTTGTGGTTGTTTGTCGTTTTCTTTTTGCGCGCCCTTCCGGATGTCAAACTCTGCATTTATCGGTCGTTCGGCTGGCGGGCCAGGGGCGCCAAAAGCTGCATTTACTGGTCGTGCTCCGTCCTTGAAGCTGTGACAAGAGTTCAAGGCGATTGTGCCAAGCGCTGAGGCGGGAGTCTCATCTTTGATACTCCTGCATCCTTGAAGCTGTTGCACACTAGCGTGGGCGGGGGCGCGAGGGCGCGAGTCCCCATTTTGTAAAGAAACCGCCTTTCATCCCTAAAACGGTTGTTAAGCCTTTGCAGCGAATGTACGCGGCTCCACGGCGAGACCCACACTTCGAAATGGAGCCGCCCTCCATCCTTGAAGCTGTGGCAACAACTTAAATCGATTGTGCACGGCGCCCAGGCGATAGCCACAGTGTGCAACGGGCCCCATCCATCCCTGAAGCTGTTGCGAACTTATGAAGCGAATGTGCACGGCTCCACGGCGAGAGCTACACCGTGAAAAGGACCCCCGTTCGTCCTTGACAGTGCTGCAGGCCTTGAAAACGAATGTGTGCGGCGCCAAGGCGAGAGAGCTGAACTTCGAGAACGGCCCACCCTCCATCCCCGAAGCTGCTGCAAGCCCGTAAGACTGGTGTGCGCGGTGCGAAGGCGAGAACCACACCTGGATCTTTTTTTTTGAAACGGAACCGCCCTCCGACCTCGAGTCTGCTTTGAATGTAGCTGTTCTGGCTCATGGTGAGGAAGTCTCCAGCGAAACCCCTCGCCCGCCCTACCGACACGTCTGGGGGCGCGACAGGGGGGATTTCTTACAGGAAATGAAATGGAAGAGTGAGAGACCTCCTTCTCCTCCCTCCTGCTGCTGCGCGACTATCTTCGCGCCCCCGCGGGTGACCTAGGCTTCAGAAGACCCTCACGGGGCCCCAGGACCGTCAAGACATCGACCGAGATGGGCACTGGTCCCCATGAACGGGTCGGGACCTTCAGGGGTCCACGTTGCGAAAGAATCACGGCGTCGGAGGTGCGGGGAGCAAGGGGGCCCTGGATCACTATTCTTCGCCCTGGATCAGTACGCTTCACCCTACCCCCTGTCCCGTTCTCCACCATCTGATATCAAGGTGAGTCTCAACGAGCACAGGAAACATAAGTAATCATACAGACGCGACAAGGCTGTCGACACCACAAACGGAAACAGACCGAGCCGACAGCGAAACTGAAACTGGCCGAACCCGACAAGCAAGAAGGACCCAGCGATGCAACAACCGCAACGTTGCTTGTTCTTCTCATACTTCTCCTCCTTCCTCTCCTCGTACGGGTCTTTCCTTTCGTTCTCCCATCATTATGGCCCGTCTTGTTCATCATGGTTCTCTTTCCCCCAGAAAGGCGGCAGGCAAGACTGCGCAATGGGCTGGGTGAAGTGCCCTCCAGGGAAGCCGAGCAAGAACATTCGACTGGGCCGCAAAAAGGGCTCGCATCCTCCCTGCCAAAGGCCGTCCGCGACGACAACGTAAAACCGCCCGAACCGACAACGAAACCGAAACCGAATTGAATCGAACCCACCGGCAACAACCGAGAAGGAATCAACGACGCGGCAACGACGCAACAACCGATCAAACAGAACCGACTGAACGCAACCGACCGCGATGCAGCCGAACCGACCAAACCGCCGACACCCGGGGCAGCTGTCGGCATCGACAGCCAACGCGCGAACAATCTCCCCGCCCCTGCCCCCGCACGGGGCGGAACGGCGGGAAGGATATGGGACCTGAAGCTGCCGCCGTGATGGCACTGCGACGCCCAACCTTACCCCACCCCTCGAAACGAGGAATGCGACCACTTCTCGTTCCTCCTCCTCCTCCTCTTCCTCCTCCTCCTCCTCCTCCTCTTCCTCCTCCTCCCCCTCCTGCGACTTGAAAACCGACGAGGGGGAGCTCCACACAGAACAGCCCGCCCAAGAGATCGCTGCGGACCCCGCCGTGTGGCTTCCTAGCCCCGAGGCCGCCCTCCTTGAAAATGAGGCCGCCCGGCCACCGAGCCAAAAACTGCCAGAAGATCTGCCCCGCAAGCTGGCGGGCCCGAAACAGGGACATGAGACGAAACCAGGACACAAAGATAACATCGAGTGAGGATACATCGAGAATCTCTGAGATCCCGCGGCTCTGGAAAATGTCTCGGGCGCCGCGGCCTTCTCAGAGCGTTCCGGAACGCTCTGTGAGCGTTACAGAACGCTCCGAAACAAATGTATCCTCGTCCTAGCCCCGTCAGGCAGGAGATGCTGTCCGACATGGCCCTGGAGACGGCGCTCGCCCCGAAACGGGCCGCGCGCGTCCTGAGACCGGCAGCGAATCCGGTCCGAAGCGAGGAGATACTGCCGTCATCCGTCGCCCCGTTGGCGGCGCGCGCAAGCAGGGGTGGCGCGAGGGGGGCGGCCTTCTACGAAGCGCCCAGGGGCTTCTGGGTCGTCTCCTTGGAAGCCGAGAGGGCTCCGACGCAGCCCCCCTGGCCTTCTCCGACGGCCGCCCCCCTCGCGCCGCGCCGCGCCTCTTGTGCGTGCCACCAGCCCTGCTCCCAGACCTGCGATGTCTTGCCGCCTCGTTCGGCGGCGGGAATCCGCGATGTCTCACGAAAACGGGACCCGTCGCTCATCCACGCCCACTCCTCCATGTTTGCGATCGCCTGAAATACAGGGTCCTCGAAAATCTGCTCCGTTTCCCCACGGCCACGCTCTCATCGCGAGTTCGTGAATTGTTTTTGACGGTCCCAGGGCGGCCCAGCGAGGGAGGGCCCCAGAGGCCGAACACTGCCCAAACCCAGCCGTTTGCTTTTTGTTTTGTTTGTTTGTTTGTTTGTTTGGTAACTTGTTTGTTTACTTACTTGTTTTTTGTGTGTGTTGTTTTTTGTTGTTGCTGCTGCTGTTGTTGTTCTGATTATTATTGTTGTTGCTGTTGTTCTTGTTCTTGTTCTTGTTATTGTTCTTGTTCTTGTTCTTGTTCTTGTTGTTGTTGTAGTTGTAGTTGTAGTAGTTGTTGTTGTTGTTGTTGTTGTTGTTGTTGTTGTTGTTGTTGTTGAACTCTCATTTCTGAAGAATAATTATTGTTGATCCCGCCACCGGTGCAGACTGTTTTTCTCAAAAAAAGTGTGCCCCTCGACGCTCGCACCCTGTTTTCCATCAGGGAAAATATTGAAGCTCAAACTGGGTGCCTGGCCCCCGGGTTACAGCAACAACGGCTCCCGCCTAAGACTTCCTCGCAATCTAGCCAGGGCCCCCGAGCCCGCCCGAGACTTCCTAGCATTTTATTCGGAAATCGCGCTCTCGCTTGGGACTTCCTTGCAATTTATTCCGGAATCGCTTTCCTGGCGCTCTGGAGTCGCGCTCTCGCTGGACTTGCTTGCAATTTACTGGAGATTAGCGCCCTTGCGTTGGAATTTCCTGCAAATTACCCAGGCACCCAGGAGTCGCGCTCACGCTTAGGACGCCCTCACAAATTACCTATGAATCGAGATCTCGCTGCTCTTCGTGGTCCCGTTGCAATCCTTCCTGACCCCTCGCATTGTTTCGTCGACCCGTTGCAGCCCTTCGTGACCCCCTCGCTGCCCTTCGTGGCCCCGTTGCAGCCCCTCGTGGCCTCCTCGCTGCCCTTCGTGGCCCCGTTGCAGCCCTTCGTGGCCCCATCGCTTTGTTTCGTGGTCCCGTTGCAGCCCTTCGTGACCCCCTTGCTGCCCTTCGTGGCCCCGTCGCAACCCTTCGTGGCCCCGTTGCAGCCCTTCGTGGCCCCCTCGCATTGTTTCGTGGACCCGTTGCAGCCCTTCGTGGCCCCCTCGCTGCCCTTCGTGGCCCCATATATGTATGCCCTTCGCAGCCCCCGCTCGTTTGCGCCCGTGGTGGCCCCATATGCATGCCCTTCGTGGCCCCGCTGTCGCCCTTCGTGGCCCCCTCGCTGCCCTTCGTGGCCCCGTTGCTGCCCTCAGTGGCCCCGTCCTTGCCCTCCGCGGCCCAGTATACGTATGCCCTTCGTGGCCCCCGCTCGTTCGCGCCCGTTGTGGCCCCATGTGCATGCCCTTCGTGGCCTCGCTGTCGCCGCTTGTAGCCCCCTCATTGTCCCACGTGGCCCAGTTGCTACCCTCAGTGGCCCCATCGTTGCCTTCTGTGGCCCTGCATTATCTGCCCTTCGTGGCCCCCGCTCGTCCGCGCTCTTCGTGGCCCCATACGCATTCCCTTCGTGTCCCCGCTGTCGCCCTTTGTGGCCTACTTCGTGTCCTTGTGGCCCTGTTGTCGTTCTCTCTCGCTCTCGCTTTCGCTCGTCGTCGTCGTCGCCGTCGTCGTCGTCGTCGTCGTCGCCGTCGTCGTCGTCGACGTCGTCTTCTTCGTCGTCGTCGTCGTGGTCGGTCCCCTGTCCGTCCCTCTTGGGGTCGGGTCGACGGTCCGCGGCCGCCCCGCCGATCAGCGCTGCCGCTGGCCAGGCCGACGGTCCGCGGCCGCCCCGCCGCTTGCCGGGGCCCGGCCTGCAGGGAAGAGAGATCTACCCCCCAAAAGGGGTTCGATCGAAGACGAAGAGGGCGGGTATCGAGGGTTTGGGAAATACGCGTTATTGGGCACTCGAGCAGATAAGGGCGAACAGTCTTAAAATGATTGTTGTTGTTGTTGTTGTTGTTGTGGACAAAAACCAAACATATGCACATACTATTTCCACGACGAGAGCATGTCTGGGTTGATCGTCTCCTCTCCACTGGGCCAGGCCTGGCCCATCATGGGCACTGGGGGGGGGGTACATGTGGCTACCTGGCCAAGCCAGGAGGTATGCGCCGCTCCTGGGCCCAGGATGGGCCAGGCCTGGAGCAGTGCAGATGCAGGACATCAGAAGAGCCAAAGAACTGCATTACCCCAGTGCGACCCTACCTAGAAGTTGGAGCCCCTAGGAAAGCAGCATTAGTTGCTATGCTATGTTATGCTATGCTATGCTATGCCATGCTATGCTGCGCTATGCTATGCTATGTTATACTATGCTATGCTGCGCTATGCTATGCTATGCTATGCTATGCTATGCTAAACTATGCTATGCCATGCTGCGCTGTGCTATGCTAGGCTATGTTATGCCATGCTATGCTAAGCTGCGCTATGCTAGGCTAGGCTATGCTATGCTATGCTGCGCTGTGCTATGCTGTGCTGTGCTGTGCTGCGCAATGCTATGCTATGCTATGCTGCGATATGCTATGCTATGCTATGCTGGGCTATGCTATGATATGCTATACTGCGCTATGCTATGCTACGCTATGCTATGCTGTGATCTGCTATGCTAAAACTCAGCGAAGCTAAGATGAAGGTAAACTAAACTAAGATACACCTGAGCTAAGATGAAGCTAAGCTAAGCTAATACGAAATAAGCTAAGCTAATATGAGATAAGCAACGCTAAGCTAAGGGTACGTAACTGGGGGAACCGCGGGGCAGATACTGGGGGAACCGCCCGGGGCGCTTTCCACTGCCCGGCCCCTTTAAGCCCAGAGAGTAAGAACCCTTCTAGGCAGAGCCTAGGTAGGGAACAAACATAAGTTTTAGGAGGTCCGCGCGGATTTCTTGGATCCGCGCTGGACCCCCCTCATTGGCGTGCGGAGCGCGCCAGGGGCGGCGCAGGAGGCGCCGCCGGGGGAGCCCAGCGCGGATCAAAAAAATTCGCGCGGAGCTCCGGAAGCTTATGTTTATGCAACCTTTTCTTTCTCGGTGTGTAGATACCGTCGCCCCAACTCTCGGCCCTCTCGTGCAGGATGCACACGCCCCTCGGCCCAGCATGGGCCAGACCTGGGGCAGCGCCGACGTGCAGACCCTGTCGCCCGAACTGTCGGCCCTCTCGAGCAGGAGGGCGAGCAAACAACAACAATAATTTCGCGTGGATTCTTTTTGGTCTTCATCCCTGGCCAACAAATCCGCACGAAATTCACCTCGAAATCTGGAACGAAATTCTCCAGGACACCCCGGGCCCACCCGATCGTTTTCTGAACGGAATCTGCTCTGCGATGTTGGCGCCATGAGCCCTCCCCCGCCCCCCCCCGAGACAGCCGCGCGGACCGCGCCAGCCTGCGGGCGCAGCCGGCCCCGCCCGCGCTGGCGGCGTGTGCCAGCCCTGGGCCGTGGCGGGCTGCGCCTGCGCCATCGGCGTGATCAGGTGGTCCGCCGCTGGAGCTGGGTTCCCTTTTTTCCTTCTCCGGCTCTGGGATGCCAGATTCGGCTTGCGTGCGCACGTCGGGCGTATGCAGACATTTGGCGCGCGCAAGAAGTGCGCGCCACATGAGGCATGCGCACCGGAGGCGGCGCGAGGCAATGGTTACAAAAGCAAGTTCCACGTTTTAGGTATGGCTGTTTTGCGCATGCCTAAACGTTTTGAGAGAGAGAGAGAGAGAGGTCGCCTTTGAAAGTAGAAAAGGGAACCCAACGCTGGAGCTTGCGCGGCTGAGGGTGCCACTGGGCTCTGCGCCTGCGCCTGCGGCCACCTGGGCTGCAGCCAGGCCTCGGCGGCGGCGCCGCGCGCGGCCCTCGAGGTCTGGGCTCGTCGTGGGGGAGTCCCTGTCGGGCGCTCTCGGGTAACGGGGCCCGAGCGGACCGGTCCGGCTGGAGAGACCTCGAGCACAGGTGATGTCGACAGCTCTGACCCTGCTATTCTTCTGAGCGGCGTGTCTGCAATCATTCCAAACATGTGTTACATGTCTGTCTGTCTGTCTGTCTGTCTGTCTGTCTGTCTGTCTGTCTGTCTGTCTGTCTGTATGCATGTGTGCCTGTATGCATGTGTGTGTGTATGTATATAGGCCTTGTATATCTGCGTGCATGTATTTTAATATCTCTGTGTCTGAGTCTCTCTTTCTCTCTATCTCTCTTCTAGGGCCGGTGGGTGCGTCACTGGATCCCGAACCCGTCGCCCGTGGTCTCTGGTCGTGGTCCCAAGACCATCGGTGACCTCTGGACGTGGGCCGTGCTCTCTGGTTTTCGATGCAGCCTGACACCGTGCCTAAACAACTTGTCCAATGGCGGATCCTCTAGCAAATTTCTAAGGTCGGGCGTGAGACCGTTAGGAGGGGGAAGGGGAGGAGGAAGAGGAGGATGAGGAGGAGGAGGAGGGGGAGGAGGAGGAGGAGGAGGAGGAGGAGGAGGGGGAGGAGGAAGAGGAGGAGGAGGAGGAGGCGGAGGAGGAGGAGGAGGAGGATGAGGAGGAAGAGAGGGAGAAGGGGGAGGAGGGGGAGGAGGAGGAGGAGGAGGAGGAGGAGGGGGAGGAGGCGGAGTCGGTGCCTCGATGGCTCGGTGGACGTCCGGTCTCCGACCTGGCCTCCCACATGGTGTTTCCCCGTTTGGCTCCGCTTCGGTCTCCCGTGTGGTCTCCCGTAAAGCCTCCTTCGTGGTCTTCCGCATGGTCTCCAGAAGGGCCTCCACAACTGTTTCCCGTGTGGCCTCCCTCATGGTCCTGTTTATGCTCTCCCTTCTGATCTTCCCGATGGCCATTTTCAGCACTCTCTGGAATGCAATATGCCGAGGCGCTCGAGCGGGGAAGCAGCTTCGCTCGCGCACACGAGAGGTTTCCGCGCAGCTCCAGCTGGCGACAGACCGCTGGCACTGCCCGGTGTAGACCGCCACGATCATGAGCACCACCTGGGGAAACCAAAAGGTACCAATACCGCTACTCCCCGGACCTCTCCTGGGGTGCGTTCTGACCAGGATTTCGAGGCAGATCCAGCGGTGGCGACGAGATCCTCCGAGCAGGCACAAAAATGGGAAAACGGCCGAAGGGTAGAGGTATGGGTACCTTTTCCTCCCCTGGCCACCACCGAACCACCACCAGCACCTCACTCGGCACCTGCTTCGATAGGCCGATCATCGGTTCCGAGCCCCGGGCTGCGGGCGCACCGCCGCCGAGCATGGCCGTCGCCCCGTCCGCCACTGGCGTCACCTGAGGCTCCGCCCGGGGCGTCGGCGCAGCGGCGCCAGCGCCCACCGCCGGCTCCGCGGCCGGCAGCGACGCCTGAGGGGGTCAACGCAGGCCGCAGTCAGCGTTGCTCGTTTTTCTCGTCTCTGCCCCCCGTCCTCTTGTCCTGCTGCCCCTCCATCTGATATCAAGGTGGACCTGAATGAGCACTGGAAGCAGGAGGAATAATACAGACGCGCGTCAATGTAGACACACGACGAGGCCGTCGACAACATGAATGAAAACCGACCGAGCCGACAACGAAACTGAAACTGGCCGAAATCGACTAGCAAGAAGGGCCTCATGCTTATCCTTCTTCCTCTCCTCGTGCTGGTCTCTTCTTTCGTCATCCCATCATTCTGGCCCGTCATTTTCATCGTGGCTCTCTTTCCCCAGGAGGGCGGCAGGCAAGACTGCACAATCGGCTGGGGAAGTGACCTCCAGGGACTGCGAGCAAGAAAATTCGACTGGGCCGCAAAAGATGCTCCAACCCTCCTGTCCAAAGCCGTCAGTGGCGACAACGCAACCGAAAACTGCCCGAACCGACAACAAAACCAACACCGAACCGAATCAAACCTACCGGCAACAATCAACCGAACCGAACCGACCGACTGCAACCGACCGAGGTGCGGCCCAACCGGTTGAACCGCGGACGCGCTTGATGCCTCGCTCAAGGACCGACTGGACGGGCAAGGGGGCGTTAAAACAAAACACGCCGCCGATCACGACGGGACCCGCAGCCGAGGTCGCAAAATTTGTCGAGTCGTCGCAGCAGTGCGACGTGGCCAACTTCGCCCCTCGCAGTTCGCGCGATGCGGAGGAAGAAGGAAGGGGGGACGCCAAGCTAGGTGCGCAAGCGTCCAATCTGACGTCCTACCCCTCCCTCCCATCCCTTACCATGGCGTAGGTCTCTTCTCTATTCGCGCCGTCGTATGTCGTAGCATGCCATAGCTTTCCATGGCAAGACATGGCGTTGAAGATCAACGCGTAGCATGACGTAGTTTGGCGTGGCACTGCGTAGTCAAGCACTGCATATCAAAGCTTTGCAGCTGAAGGGATGGCATCGCACAGCGGAACACACCATACCATTGCATTGCATGCTATGGCGTGGCACTGGAAATGAGGCCAGCGCTGCAGCGGGAGCACGATTCGGAACGAGCGGAAGCGCGGAAATGAGGTCAGCGCTGCAGCGGGAGCACGATTTGGAATGAGCGGAAGCCCGAAAATGAGGCCAACGCTGCAGCGGGAGTAACACTTTGAGGCGCCGAAGAGAACCGGAAGACCAAAAACACATACGAAAATCAAACTCCCAGCAATCCTGTGCGTGAGGAACCGTACGCGGAGGGGTGCCAGCCATCTTCCGCACAGACGCAGGGGAGAGAGGAGCGTAGTATCCACATTGTGCCAGTGTGAAGGAGACGCGGATGCAGCAGCAGCCTGAAGCCTGCAGCGCGCCTCGGCCGCCAGGCTCGCGAGCCACAGAGACACGCCCCCGGCAGCACGCTCCCACCCCGAGCCCGCAGCACGCCTCGGCTGTGCCGAGTTCGCGAGACCGATCCAAGCCGACACAGACCTCCGACGTGGTGACTTTTGCACGCGGATCCCCTGTGGTCCCGACCCCTTCCCGTGGACCAGCTTTCCGTCCCGAGTCGCTTTCTGACGGCATCGGGGCCTGGTGAGGGCCCCCAGAGGCTGAAACAAGCACCCACGACGCGAGGAGGTGGGGGAACGCCCTCCGATCGATCCGTGCCAATCCACGACCCGATCCCGATCCCTGGGTGGCCTACGGTCGAAAAGTTCTGCTTAGCGTGTCGCGGCGGCGGTCCTGGCGACACTCTATGCCCTGCAAACGGATAGCGTGTCGCTCCGCTCCGCGGGGCGGGAGGCTGGGAAAGGCTCGGGACATTGACTCTTGGGGACCAGGGAGTGGTTAGCGCGTCGCGCCGAAGCGTGGTGGGTCCGACCTGGCGGCGCGACGCGCTAAGCACACGCTCCCGCTCGTAACCTTGCGCTTCGCGCCGTGCGAGGCACGATTACCTTCGCGCTCTTTCTATGATCTGGAGGACGTGCGTGAATGCTAGCGCTTGTCTGCTCACAGAGGCACTTCGGCACGCGGGGCGTGGAAGAGCCCAAGGTTACCGAAGGATCCAACATTACCGGCCGAGGCTGTCGAGGTAAGTGCTGCTCCATGGATCATCGACCCTCGCGCCGTACCCTCGGCGGCGTTCCGAGGGGGAAGCAAGAGGGGGCTAGGCCTTCTCAGGAGGCGGCGGGCCTCAAAGAGGGCTTAGAGCGCTTCTCAGAAGGCTGGAGGCCCGCTCCCCTCTGCCCTCATCTGCCTCCCCCCCTGGGCGCGACGCCCCCCCCCCCCCCCCCTCGGATACGCGCAACAAACATGGCCTGACGCAAGGATGACCTGTGGTGTGCGGCCCCCGGGGGCCGCAGGGGGTGCCAGGCCCGGGCGCGCAGAGAGTGCCACTCCAACGCCTGCGGGCCCAGAGGGCCCGCAGAGGAGGTCTCTCCGGCGAGCCCATGCAGCGGTGTCGGTGCCTTGTCCTCCTTTGATGTCAAGACGCTGCAGATTTCACGGCGTCGGATCTCGGGGCAGCAGCGACGCGACGGGCAGCCGTCCGAGGCTGGAGTGTGAGTGCGGCCACCGCCCTCGGGGGCCGATGCCTCGGGACCTCGGGGGACGGGTATGGATCGTCTCGGGCCCTGGGCGGGGGTCCGAAGGTACCCACGTCCGCTGCCTCTTGGGGTCCTGAAAGGCCAGCAGAAGGGCCCGCGCGTGGCCGGACCCAGGGGCCGCGGGGCGCGGCGCGCGGCGGCCTTCGCCGCCCCCCCGGACCAGTGGGCCCGAACAGGCCCCGCGGCCCGATCCCGATCTCGATGCGCTCCAGCTTGAGTGGGGAGGGCACGCGAAAACGCCAGCGCCGCGTCGGGAAGCCGGATCGAAGTCGAAATCCAGTGGAATCTTCTGGAATCTGGGCCCCGTGTCGGCGATCGCCGCATTTGCTCGGGAGCCGGAACTGGGAAGGCGGATCTGAATCGAACCGGACTTGAACCAGTTCCTTGAGACAACATCAGCTGCGTGGGCAAAGGACGACGACGATTACGACCGCGAGCCCCCTAGGCGACGAGCACGACGGCGAGTGCGGGCCTCGGGTCTTGTGTCCCTTTTTGAAGGCCACGTTGCCATAGGA